TCTCTTGTATGTTTTTCTTTTATAAATTGTTGAAATTCCTTTTTCTATTCTTAATATTAACCATTTATAGTTAAAAGCATTGCAAATATTTCTCAGTATGCGTTTGTCTTTTCAAACATTTGTATCCTGTTTGATGATTGGTTCAGTTTTCTTTTCAACTAACCTTGAGTATAGTGCTCAGATCCTTACTGAAATGAAATGGTATCCAAATACCTCACAATATGCAGCACATATTAAGGACAAACTTACCATGTACAGTTGATGGTGGTGAAGTGCTTAGTGAGGCAGGTGTTTGGAGCACTTGATGCCTGCTGTGTTTAACTATTATGGCTGCAATAATTACTAAAAACAATGTGGCATGAGACGAGTGCTCCTCAGTGCAAGGAAGCACTTTTAGAAAGAAAATACCTCAGGTTCTTAAGCTTTCAGGCGATGGGACTCTCAGACAGGTCCCACTTGTAGAAACAGATAATTCTTCTAGCAAATCTAAATCTATCTCTTATTTATTAATGTGCTATGATAGTACCTCTGAAAAACCAGAAACTAAAGTTAATTGTATGGATTGTAGAGAGTGGGTCTGCAGCCTTATTAAGTATCCCAGGTGAAGTTAGGGCATTGATTGAGAATGAGTAGGGCCCTGAGGCTTGGAATAGAGATAAGTGGGAAAACTTGGATGATGCTGATGATTAAACCAGATCATTCTAAATTTTCTTTGCTAGTGGAAGCAGCCCTTCTTCCTGTGCTTGAAGGCATCAGCCTTTTTCTATTAATGATTCTTTAATAACTTCTCTTGGTAAAATTCTAAGAGGAGATGTTTCTTCTTCTCAAGATTTACCCCAAGAATCTTATGATTAGTGTCAATTTTCAGCATACCCCAGGAGGATGTGTACAAAGTGACTTGGAAGGAAGTAGCTTGTACTCCAAAATGAATTGCAAAATTCATATAAATGGATAGGGTCACATATATTGACATATGTACATCTAACACAGGTTCATGTGCTAGTTTGGCAGGACGAAGGGGCTCTAACATTTTACATGATGGGTTAGGTGAAACTTAGACATAGTGGAAATTCAATGATGTTGAGACAGAAGAATTTCCTTCATGTAATATAGAGGAAAGAATCCAAAGGTTTAGAGAAATAGACAAATTGAAATGCTTTTATCACATGCAACTAGTTTTTCTCACATTTTGTTTTTTCCTGAAGGGGCCCAAATAGCACTCCCTTCATTAATTTACTGACAAATTTTATTAGTAAGGGGATGTCCATATTTTTGAAATATGGGGATGCCTTCTATAAGCCAGGTATAATGCTGGGAGATGCCATCCTTGAGTTGGGCTTTCCATAAAGATAATGAAACATTTAACTGCCAGAGGCTAGGTGGGCACATTCAGTGTAATGTGCATTGGGGTTGAAGTATTTACCCACAGAGACCTCAATCAGGAGTCAATCACAAGTCCCTAAAACAAACTAAATGTGCAACCCAGTACAACATTATTTTATATATATAATAAGATAAACTTCAGGTTAAAGGTCAAATCCATATCTGAGTTACCACAATGGAGAATCACGTCCTCTCCCCTAATTCTAGAATTAAGTCAGTTTAGAGAACTCAAGCCTCTTGATTGAAGTAGAGGTTTGCTCTACTACCATAGGAATCTGCCATTTCTCTTCCTCTGGCACTGTCAAAAGTGATCTGAGGACAATTACTAAGGAGATTGTGCATTGGAGAAAATGATACATCTAAACTTTTGGGGTACTCGCAATACCAATGTGCAATTACAATAGATAAGAAATGGAGGTGTGTACCAAGTATGAATTACCCAGTGTTCAGTAAGACCATGGACCCATTCTGTGTGGTTCTCTATACCCTAGATGTATAATTAAAATGGACCTACTTGACACTGGCATTGGTGGAATCACCAAACTGGCTCTCTAAGCAAGGGAGTGAGGGTTATTAGGATAGAAAGGATAAGTGAAAGCTGCTGGAGCTTCCCCTCCCTGCCAGGTCTCGTAGGTAGAATATTGAACCCGAAACAACACTGTTCTCTTTTGGAAATAGCAGGAATGATTGTAACCCATGAAAGACCTCAAAGATGCAGGGCAGTGATGCTGTTTATATTCTCATTGATATGTTCCTGTTGGTCCATATAAAATGTCACGGTTCTTTGAAAAGGACTGTATTATTTTAAACCTCATCAGGCGATAATCACAGTTGGGCTCCTTTTCCAAAGGCAGATTTTTTTCTAAGCTTTTCCTCAGAAATTCTGACCAGCCATGGCTTTGAAGAATCTGTTTTGGATGAAGTGGACTTAACATATGATGGGAGTGGGTCTAAGAAGTTCGAGGCTTGAAGTGGATAATTTGGGTATTCTGCAAAGACCTCCTTAAAATATTTTATTTACTATTTTTATGTGCCATGGCTTTATTGGTAGGCTATTAATTGCTGCCCCAACTTCAGACCTTGTTACTGGTCTATTCAGGGATTCAACTTTTTCCTGCTTTAGTCTTGGAGGGTGTAAGTGTCTAGGAATGTATCAATTTCTTCTAGATTTTCTAGTTTATTTGCATAGAAGTATTTATAGTATTCTCTCATGGTAGTTTGTATTTCTATGAGGTCAGTGGTGATATCTCCTTTATGATTTTTTATTTTGTCTATTCTTCTCTTTTTCTTCTTTATTAGTCTAGGTAATGGTTTACCTATTTTGTTAACTTTTTTCTTTTTTTAAAGCTTCTGGATTCATTGATTTTTTTTTTTTTGGAGGGTTTTTTGTGTCTCCTCTTTAAATTCTGCTCTGATGTTAGTTATTTCTTGCCTTCTGCTAGCTTTTGGAATTGTTTTCTCTTGCCTGTCTAGCTATTTTAATTGTGATGTTAAGGTGTTGATTTGAGATCTTTCTAGCTTTATGAAGTGCTATTTATTTCCCTCTTAACACTGCTTTAGCTGTGTCCCAGAGATTCTGGGACGTTGTATCTTTGTTTTCATTGATTTCAAAGAAGTTCTTGATTTCTGCCTGAATTTCATTATTTAACCAGGAGTCATTCAGGAGCAGCTTGTATGTATAATTTCCATGTAATTGTGTGGCTTTGAGTGAGTTTCTTAACCCTGAGTTCTAATTTGATTTCACTGTGGTCTGAGCAACTGTTTGTTATAATTTCAGTTCTTTTGCATTTACTGAGGAGTGTTTTACCTCCATGTATGTGGTCGATTGTAGAATAAGTGTCATGTGGCACTGAGAAGAATGTATACTCTGTTGATTTGTGGCAGAGATTTCTGTAGATGTCTCTAAGTTCCACTTGATGCAGAGCTGAGTTCAAGTCTTGAATATCCTTGTTTATTTTCTGTCTCTGGTCTGTCTAATATTGACAATGGGATATTAAAACTTCCCAATTTTATTGTGTGGGAGTCTGAGTCTCTTTGTAGACCTTGTTTTATGAATCTGGGTGCTCCTGTATTGGGTGCACATATATTTAGGATAGTTTAGGATTGTTGAATTGTTTCCTTTACCGTTATGTTATGCCCTTCTTTGTCTTTTCTTGATCTTTGCTGGTTTAAAGTCTGTTCTGTCAGAGACTAGGATTGCAACCCCTGATTTTTTTTTCTTTCCATTTGCTTGGTAAATTTTTCTCCATCCCTTTATTTTGAGCCTATGTGTATCTTTACATGTGAGATGGTTCTCCTGAATATAGCACACCAATGGGTCTTGACCCTTTATTAATTTACTAGTGTGTATCTTTCAGTCCATTTACATTTAAGGTTAGTATTGTTATATGTAAATTTGATCCTGTCATAATGCTATCTGGTTATTTTCCACATTAATTGATACAGTTTCTTCATAATGTCATTCGTCTTTGTATTTTGGTGTGTTTTTGCAGTGGTTGGTACCAGTTTTTCCTTTCCATATTTACTGCTTCCTTCAGGAGCTCTTGCAAGGCAGTGCCAGTGGTAATGAATTCCATCAGCATTTGCTTGTCTGGAAAGGATTTTGTCTTTCAATTATGAAACTTAGTTTGGCAGGGTGTGAAATTCTGGGTTGAAAATTCTTTTCTTTAAGAAGGTTATATTGACCTCCAATCTCTTCTGGCTTATAGAGCTTCTGCTGAGAGGTCTGCTGTTAGTCTGATGGGCTTTGCTTTGTAGGTGACCTGGCCTTTCCAGGTAGAGACTCTTGTTCTTTTCCCTTCCTTTCTCCCAACTAAATGGAGTCTCCTGCCTGTGCTGAGCCACCTGGAGTTGGGAGTGTGATGAGGCAAGCACCCTTGTGTCCACCAACACTCAGACCTGCACTGGGCGGAACCTGAAGCCAGCATAGCTCTGGGTCTTGCCCAAGGCCCTGCTCTTTAATGTGATAAGTTTCCCCAGGCTCCAGAAATGTCCAGAGATGTTGTCTGGGGGCCAGAGATTGGAGTCAAACATCTTAGCAGTTTACCTGATTTTCTAGTCTACTGTATCTAAGCTCATATCACACTACAATACAGAGTTCCTGCTCTTCCTTCCCCTTTCCTTAAGAAGAAGAACCTCTTCCCGTGGCCACCACCACCACTGATCCACAAGGGTCAGGCCACTGCATGTGTTCATTTAAAACCCTGAGCTCTTCTGTCAGCTCATGGTGAATGCTGCCAAGCCTGGGATTCACACTTCAGCTTAGATGCCTCCCTTCTGTCCCCGGATATGTAAAAAAAATGGTGTCCAAAAGCCTTAGCATGGACTTGGGGACCCTAACAGCCTTCTTGTTGCTTTACCTCATTTTAGCTTAGCTGGTACCTAAGGTACAAGTAAATGTCCCCTTTCTTTTCCCTCTGCTTTTCTCAAACAAGAAAGAGTCTTGTAGTTACTACAGCAGGGAATGTGCTATGTCATCCCTGAAGTCAGCACGTCTCAGAGCTCAAGGCCCACAGCATACTCCCTGGGTATCACTGCTGGTTATTCAGGGCCCAAGAGCTCTTTGGCAGGATGAATCCTGCCAGGACTGGGTCCTTCTCTTCAAGGCAGTGGTTTCATTTTTGGCTAAGGGTGTGCCTAGATATGTTGTCCAGGTGGAAGGGCCAGGAATGGGAATATTCTTCCTGGTGGCCTATCCTACTGTGGCTGAACTGGTACCAAGATGCAAGACAAAGTCCTCTTTACCCTTTATTCTCTTCTCCTTAAGAAGAAGGAAGGCGTCACTGTTGTTGCTGTGAGTTGCAGTACCTCCGACTGGGGGAGAGATGATGTAAGCGTTCACTTAGCCATGCCAGCTGATATCTCTGAGGTCACATGCCCCCCATTTCTCTGACTCTAAGCTCAGCCTAGCACTAAGAGTTGCCTCCAAGTTGTAGTTTTTGCGTCATAGACTGCTTTTCAAGTTTACATAGAACCCAAGAGCACTTCAGCCCACAGTGGTGAGGCTTGCTGAGAAACTTAAGTTCTAGATACGGGGATAGGCAATTCTCCCCTGGCTAGGGCTGGTCCAAATGCTCCCTTTGTGCATGGGTGCTGATTGCACCCAGCAGGGCTTTATTCTCTACTATGACAGGGTAGCACTACGTTCAATGTAAAGACGCCAGTCATTGCATTGTCCCTCCCCAAAGTGCAAACAATCTCTGCCTGTGCCACCCAGCCACTTTCAGGGATCACGGAGGGTGGTGTTAGTGATTCAATACTGTCTCTCTGGCTCTCCTCAATGTCTCTTTTGGAAATATGAAGTTAAAATCAGGTACTGTGATTGGTCACCTGACTTTTTGTACTTTTAAAGGCGCTTTTCTGTGTGCAGATAGTTGTAAAAATCTGGTATTCTTGTGGGGAGGATGAATGGTATAGGCTTCCTTTTCACCATCTTGTTCCAGCCCTCTCAAATTTATATAAAAATTTAAAGTAATTTCCAAATGATTCTAAAACAATCTGAAAGATATAACAGATAATAATTACTATTCACCATACTGAGATTATATCAAGAATTTTATTGAAATTATTGTATAAACTTCACTTCTAATAAATTTGTAATTTTTTAAAAACTATACTTATGATTAAAGATATTTTTTACAAAGCAAAAAGTAAAATAAGTTCACAGAAAGTTTCTCATCAAAAAATATTAAGAGAAGGATGTCCTATAATTAATTAAAATAATAATGACAAACATTTATATAGCATGTTACATATACACAATGATGGTATACACATATATTGCTATGTAAATGATTATATGTGTGTAAATGTAATACAACTTCTCTAAAAATTATGTGCAGGGTTAGAGAGGTATAAATTTATGTATAGATAAGTTACTTGTTCAAGGTCTTACAGGACAAAATTGGTAGAGTTGGGATTTAAACATAGATATTTTGGACTCGTTCTTTGTTTTTAGTCACTTTGGAATGCATACATATATGCTAAAAGTATCTTACCAAAAACAAGAAAAAATTAGAGCTCACCTCTGACAGGTAAATTTGTCATGTGAAACATGCATATTTCTACTGAAAGAGATATTTCAAAATTTTTGAGCAACGGCACTTACAGAAAATATTGTATATCTGTTCAAAATGATCACCCTGAGGAATAGCACTCACATGAACGTAGGAACAGAACTCATAGATGTACAATTCTTGGGTTTATTAAAACCATCTATCTCAAAATCATGTGTGGTGACAGTTATCTCTGTATTTTCAATTGCCATTATTGCAGAGCCGGTCCTCAATACGTATTAAAAATTGAAATGAGAGTTATTCTTTGCTCTTCTTCATCTTCCTCTTTATTTTCTAAAGTGTATGGCAGCATTGAACAGAAATTTATTAAATTTTTAAAACTTGGGGGCCAAAATAAGGTTACAGATGTCTTACTGAAAAATTTCTCCTTTAGTTTCACCCAGATACAGAAACATAACCACCATAAAATATCTTTATTCTTGGTATTATATTATATGATTCATGGTCACTCTGGGTATTTGAGTTTCCTACAGAATTACTACGGACATTTAACCTGCCCCTAACATTCAATCTGTCAAGTGCTGAAATGAAATGGGTGTTGATATGAAGGCCAGGTTAGACTCAGTTATAAAATTTTAGCACCTTTTTTGAAAATCTTCTCAATTACATTTTCCCAAAAGGCAACACTGAAGAAAAGTATGTTCTTATATAAAACAAATATCATGATTCTAGTCCTAGTATATTTTTCTTTGAAAAATATTTTGATACCAGAGATTACTTAAATTTTGATCATTAGAACTTCATTTAATATCCCTTTTATCCTAAATATTAAAACAAGTAAATCATTGTTAACCGTGTGCATTTTTGCTTAAAATAATGAAGACAATGGCAATTTTAGTTATATTTAATAAAAATTGTACTTATTAGCACATATATTGTTCTTTATATGTATGCTGTGATAGTCATATAAGTTTATTGTGATCAAGTGCTTCTCATTATCTGTATTTTTTCATATAATTTATGAAAAATAAATCAAGTTAATAGTTAATATTTACATATTTTTCAGAGATGATTCTGTTATAATATGTAAGTAGGAAGACCAGAGAGTAACATCTTATATGTGTTGTCTTAATATGATCATCTTAATCTTAAAGCCAGATTCACTGAAAAGTGAGAAGAAATAGAGTAAAATACAATAAAAATAAATGTTTTTCATTTGGTATGGAGGGAGGATTACCAATGAGTGTAATGATTATGTATCTCTACTGATGAAAAATGATCGAGTGGTGAGGAGTGAACATTCTGGCAGGAAGCAGAAAGCAGACACATAACTCACAAACCAGACAGTGAGAGAGAAGCCCCTGAATAACAATAAGCTTGGACATTGTGAGTGGATGGCAGAGTGTGGTGGCAGAGGCTGCCACCCCTGTAGGAAGGGCAATGGCATCAGGTCTCTGAGCACATTTCATCTGCAGATACTAAAAAGCCCCATAAATGTGAATGAATGTTTTGCTGCAGAAAAGTGATGGGATTGTTTCCAGGAAGAATAACAGAGAAGCATTTTAAAGCAGGAAAATATAGTTTCACTTTCTCCTCATGTATACTTAATATAATGTGGGCTTAGCTTGGCATTCAGTATGAATAAAAATACAAAACTCATCTAATCTGTGTGCATACGGACAGCATTTGGCATACAAGTAACTGAGGCCCAGAGAGGCTAAGTGGCTTTCCAAGGTCCTGAAGTTCGGTGGTGGCAAAGTTTAAACTAATAGTACTTTTGAGATGTCAGATTATGTACACCTGTTTGTATTTGGATATTGACGTTCCATCTCCATGCTTTTATATAAATTATAAATGTCTCAATTAGGAGATATATTTATAATCTTTACTGTATTTTTTATGTTCCATAATTTAACTTCGAACATTTATTGCATGCCTAATATGTACAACCTGTGTGATAGAAAATAATAGAATTGAAAGAAACACTGTGCTCTACTGAAAAGAGTTTATAAATTAGTAAGATAATCTGATGTAGAAGTAAGTACAGTCCTCAGTTGCTTAACAAGGACATGTTCTGAGAAACATCATTAGGCAATCTAATTGTCAATTGAACATAGAGTGTACTTACACAAACCTGGATGGTAAAACCTACTACACACCTAGGTTATATGATCCCACCTACTGCACTTAGGCTACAAACCTGTACAGCATGTTACTGTGCTGAATTCTGTAGGCATCTGTAACACAATGGTAAGTATGTGTGTATCTAAACATATTTAAATATAGAAAAGGTACAGTAAAAATACAGTATTATAATCTGTCCTATATGAGGTCTGTTATTGACTGAGATGTCATTATGGGGCACATAACTGTATACACAGTCTACCAATAGTGTGTTTCCAAACTTGTCTGATCATGGAACTTAACGATATATCAAAAATCCTCATTCATGTGTCTCTGTCTTGGAGATTCAGATTCTTAGGTCTGGGGTAGAGGCTTTTAACATTATTTAATAAAAATTCCAGTTGATTTTCATTATCAAGAAATTTGGGAAACATTGTCACAGTTCCCAGATTTGTCTGTACATTGGAATATGGAAAGAACTTTAAAAATTATAAATCCCTCTGTCCCACCCATCCTCAATCCTGGTGATCATAATCCTACATTTTGTTCTAAGACACAAACAAGTTTGGAGACTACTACTTTACTGTACTGTGGGATCTGGTACTCAAGGATGGTGTCATAAAGTAAATACCATTCAATATGTTCTTAAACTAATATGTATTGAAAACCTACAATGTTAGAAACATTTTTCATATATTATATCTTTTAATCTTCAAAATAAATCTATCAGGTTAATATGATTATTAATTGTATTTTATAGATTACAAAGTTTATTAAGAAACCTCATTCAAATTCATAGAGTTTGAAAGTGACTAAGCAGGTACATAAAACTAAATTTGTCTAAAGTCAGAGCTTGAGCCTGTGTCATTGTGCCAGACTGACTTTCAGAGGCAGCTTGAAGGATGGAGAGGCTTGCAATCGACAGAAATTGTGATGGAAGACATTCCAAGGAGAAACATCAATGTCAGCAAGGGGAGAAGGGTGCTAAGCCAAGTTGGAAAGCTTGGCTCTAGATAATGGAGGGCTTAACTTCATGGACTGCTTGGCTAATTATCAGATGATTGATTGATTGACTCATTTATTAATTCAGTACATTACTGTTTTATAATGACAAGTATTACATATTTAAAATTTTTGAAAAATAATCACTATTGGACGGAATGTCATAGGTTGAATACTTATCCGGACTTTAGAGGTTAAACCTGTTTCAATTTTTATTTTTTTGTTTCTATATAATGTAATGTTATAGAGACCACACTGAGACCCATGCCATAAATGCAGGAAGGGTGCTGAAAAGTGATGAATAATCACTTTGGCTGGGACCTTAAATGACCAGAGATAAATGGTTTAAAAAATACAGGGATGATGTTTGTTCTTCCTAGCAAGTGGGACTTTAGAGGTGTTTAGGCTAGACAAACTGTGTTAGCATTTATTCTAAAACAAAATGCTTACAATAGGTAATGACTTTCTATCCAGAGCCCTTATTTTTTAGGATAACTTAAGTTCTTCTGATTATCAAAGAGAAAATGCAATTGGTTGTTGGTTGTCTAAAAATTGCTAATCTCTCTTATCACAGGAAGTAGTTATCATAAGACCTACAGACAAAACTAGCCACTAGAAAATAGAGAATATTTTGAGAGGGAGCGGAAGTTTATCTTCAAAGCTCTGAATCTTGACTATTTGAGGGCAG